TAAGTGTGTTGAGACCTGATTTTATCATAAAATAAATGTCATATTCAGTTTTCTCGTACCAAAAAATCCCCAAATACCAATTTTCAAAGCAATCGAATAAAAGCCAATTTTTTCCGAAATATCATTCCAAAAGAAAGGTTTCAAGCCGAAAAATCTCAAAAATTGAACTAATTTCTCAAAACGGTTGCCACCATTGAATTCCTCGGGTCCGAATTTTGTAAAATCAGTTGTCAAAATGAACGAAAAGAGTAAAAACCTAGTACATTACGGTGGATTACCAAGATATTAAAATATAGGTGGCCGCTTAAGTTCAAACTTTTTCCAATTTTCACCAAATAAAACAATGATGGTTTTTAAAAATGTGCATATCGGCTCAAAATTGAATGCGCTTTCGATCTATGAGGAAAAAATCAAAGCAAGACATACATTTTTTCAAGATAAATGACGATTAACTTCGATTTTCATCGATTTTTCTCCATTTTTTGAGGTCTAGTCATTCTGATATAACCTTTTTCGCTGAATTTTTTTTCAAACTTTCTTTGTTGCTTCATCAAGATGACCTTAATGACTTTCCAATAAGCCAAGAATGACGTGATTCTGTTAAAGAACACCCCGTATATCTGTGATCAAAAATGGCCAAAAATTGAAAATTTGTCGAAAAAAAAAATTTCAACTTCGGAGTATTTTTAAAAAAAAAACGAATTTTCCCAGATATAACACATAGGCCAAATCATCACATATTTGGTCCCTAACAAACGCCTAGTTTTTTGATTTTTTTCATAGACGCATTTTTTTAAAAATTTGGATCACGTGAAAAAATTCATGGTCATTTTTCGCCGAAAATGCCACATAACACGCCACCTGGCGGACATTTTTGAAAATTTTTCCATTCTGACTTCGGATCCGCAAAGGTTCCTTTTACCTTTCCAACGACGTATAAATCATTGTGGTACCTTACAGATGGCCAGAAAAATGTCCGATCGATAAAAAACTCAAAAATGGCCTCCCAAAAATATTCGACCCCAGACCAAAACCACTTACGCAACAAATTTTTTGAAACTGAGAAATTAGTTTGCTCAGTTTTCAGTCTACTTTCGAAAAAAAATAATTTCACACAATTTAAAAGAAGGTACGGACAGACACACAAACACCTCAAACAGCCAATTTGAGGTTTTTGGCCATTTTTGGCCAACTGGCCATATCTCGGCCACTTTTCAACCGATCGTGATGATATTTTTTTTTTACATTATCTACGCGGTCCCTAGATTCCGAATATGACCAAAAAAAAATTCGAAAAAATCATTTCAGTGGTCAAAAATCGAGAAAAATGAATTTTCACCGATTTTTTCAAAATGCCACCTGGCGGCCAAATTTTGAAATTTTTTAATTTTTTTTGCGGATTCTTAATTTGGTGCCCGGACACTACTAAAATATGCAAAAACCCCTTTCCAAAAGTCAGCGGTATCGATTTTCATTTCTTTAACGTATATATAGAGTGACGCAAAATATACATATTTCATATGTATGTGGGTATTGCGTCACTTGGGGGACTGCCGTCCCCCGTGATATGTAGCTTTACCTTGTAGACCATGTAGAGATGCTTACGTGGAGAGAATATGTATTTGCAAACATTCATACCTGTCAAAAGAAACAACGTAAACAACAAGAAGTGAAGCTATTCTGGTGAATCATATAATATAAAATATTTGTGTATTTTTTCAATTTTTTTTATTTATTATAAATTCTATTAATTATTTTCGTTATTATTATTGCAAAACATTTTCAATTTATACAATTTTGTAATTTTATTTGCAAGAAAAAAATATATGAGAACCTGGCGTGATAGATATGGCGCTTCTTAAATCGAGTCGCGTTGAAAGCCGACTATAAGTGATACTCGGTTGTACAGCTTTAACCCTCCGTTGTACACATGTCCAGCGAGTCACATTCGTAACACATGAGTCTGGCCAGACCCATTTCATTCTCTTATGAGTAAACATCCGCGGATTGGCCAGATTTTTTATTTCAAAATGCTGCATGTGGTAGAAGGGTTCACGATATGACATTTGGGGCAAAAAAAAAAATCCCAGATTGATGTGGTGCTAGATATGATCCTTGGTAGCTCCAAGGACCCCATGATTTGGGTGAAATATGTTATAAATATATTCGAATATTATATCAAAAACTGCCAATCGATTTTTCTCGCATTTCCGATGGGAAAATCGAAAAAATAACGAAATTGCTCATCCCCATAGAGGATGAAATCCCTCGAGCACTCGACTTCCAGAACACTTTGGACCAGGTCGGATCCACATACTACATGAAATAAAAAATCTGGCCAATCCGCGGATGTTTACTCATAAGAGAATGAAAATTACATCATTTTTCATATAAAATGTATGTGGGTCTGTCCAGACTCATGTCTTACTAATATGATGTTAACACCAACACATCCTTATAAAAAATCCTTGTGTCCTTTTTCGTCCTGATTTTTTTCATAGATTGATACTCAATAAAATTTTAGGAAGCTACACGGAATTTCAAGTCGCTAGCTTATTTAAAAATATATTTAAATTACAATTAAAATCAAAAAAGGTCTGGCCAGAGGAGGGTTAAAAAAATGTATGCTATTAATTTTGTTACTCTTCTGTTTCCGAATCTACTGAAGCGCACCCTCATAACATTGAAGTAAATTAATCTGTCCCAAAGTGTTATGTTTCTATTTGTATTAGACGTCTAATAAATTGCGTAATTGAAAGTGAGGCTATGTTGCTTTTTTGATTTAGTTATTTTCGAATATTTTGAATTCCAATCCCACAAAAATGAAAATGGTATTAATGTTCATATAAATTAACATTTAAAAATATATTTAGTAAATATATTATTTACATTTATTTTGTAAATATTTTCTGGTGTTTTGTAGATTTTTTTGCAATATTGAGAAAAGTAAATCTCACAAAATTACAAAGAAAAATAATTTCCATTAAAAAACGTTTTGAAATTTATTTATTGTTCCTTTTTTGAATTATTTTTTTGTACTTTTAAGACATTTTAAATGGATTTTTGTTATTGTGAATATGCGAGCGCCATCTGTTAGATGCAACACAAAACATTTGGAACAGATTAGTTCGATTTAATGCAATCAGGGAGAGCGTCAGTGTTTTCGGTCACAAAATTTATATGGGAATTCCTATAATAGACCACGGCTTCGCTTGGTACTAGATAAATTGCGTTGTAATAGTAATCTATCTCCATCAACAAAGACATGTTAAACAATGAAGATAGAGGTCCACGACCTTTTACCCGCAAAGACATGTGTTGCAGGTAAAATGACATTTTACCATGTGACAAAATTTCTCCATGTTAAAATGGCATTTTGTCGTCATTTTAACATGGAGATATTTTTTCACATGTTAAAATGCAGTTTTTCCCACAAAGAAATGTGTTGCGGGTAAAATGACATTTTACTATGTGAAAAAACACCTGCATGTTAAAATGGCATTTTGCTCTGATTACTTTGAATTTTAACATCTGAGTTTTCTGAGAGTGTGGACTGCCTCTAGTGACTGCCGTTCTGATCTACATACCAGGCTGTGTGTTTTGTATGATTTCAGCAGGCACTGCTATTTCTAGCGAGATAGCTATGCTGTGCCTAAGTTTTACGCATTGCATACCGCATTGAAATCGGTGACTGCTGTAAGCAGTGTGTGTTCGTTACGCGGCAATAGCGATACCGTAAACCATAAATCCATGATTGCTGCGTAATACACGGTATCGCTATTGCCGCGTAATGAACACACAATGTAGGCAGGCATCGATTTCAATGCGTTATGCAACGCGTCAAACTTAGGCACAGCATAACTATCGTGCTAGAAATACCAGTGCCTGCTGAAATCATATAAAACACACAGCCTGCTACCTACAGGGAGAAAAACATAGAACAACATTAGAGAATTCAGGTAGAAAAGTGAAATGTCATTGACAAAAATGTTATCTTTGAACTCATATTTTTATGTGTGATAGAGAATAAATTCTGAATTAAAAAGAGTTTTCTTTGTTTTTTCTTTCAATTTCGACATTTTACAAAGATTTCTAAATGAAACCATTGCAAAAAACTAATGCGAACAAACTTACAATTTCAATATTAAATGTTAGTAACAAAAAATCCAACCGAAATAATTTAAACTTAACTGCAATTTGCGCACAAATTTTCTTTGTTATACCGTTGACACAACTACTGATATACGATTTGAATGTGTTTACATTTTACATGCAGAGATAATTAGTGTTCAACTGGTTTAATGTGAAGTTGGTTGCGAGTGTTTTCACATATACATATGCTAAACGTAATATCTGTGCACAGTACATGTGAGTAGGGTCAGAGAAAGTGGAAACAAATGACAAATAAACTACACACAAACGTACACCAACACGTCCATAAATATATGTGCATGGATATTTCATTCAATTCAGCATGGCATACGCGAGCGATGTGAATGAGCCCGATTTGATGGTATTGGTACGAAACATATACAGAGACGGGTGACGACGACTCAGAAAGAAAGAACGTAAAAAAACATCGTAGTAATACACTAACAAAATCTAAAATGGTGGTCATAATGTCACCTACTGCGAAACAATTCACATTCATCCGTGCAGACAGTTTTTGTCATCGTCGTAGAATTTTGGTGATTTGCAATATTCCCGAGTGTCTTCGTACTTTGTAAATCTCTATATCAATTTTTTTTATTTTTCTCCCATAGTGGAATATTTTTATTAATTTATTATTTATCGAAACGAAGAGAAAATAAACAAAAAAAATATTGCATGGAGTATATATTGATATAGTGAAGTGAATAGCTTGTGAAAGATTCACGTTCACGACCCCCTTTTTGTTTTAGCATATTTTATTTCGTTGTGATAATAAATGAACAAAGGACGGACGGATGAAAAACAAAATTAAATACAAATCACCCATTTTAAAATCACGAAAAGGTCGACAAACAAAGCTAGAAAAATGATAAATTTTGGCAATAATATGATGCATGCGGATCAATTTCGTAAAATGGAAACATTTTCACCAAAATCATCGCCTCGCGGTGGACGATCACCGATCGTATCGCGCCAAGATTCATCGGGCACGTTGAAAATGAACATTTCACTTGGAAAAATACCAGCCATTGTACACAATGGACCATTTTATTTAATGAAAGACCCACAAGGTTAGTTAGAGCCGAACAGAAAAAACGAATTCTCTTATTCAAACATACTTTTATCAATGTCAATTTATTCACACTCATTCCAAAAAAGAAAAAAGAAAAATCAAAATTGACCGTTGCAAACAACAAACAAATACAGAGTGTTTGGACGGGCATATATTTTGATTGGCATCTGTTATTCATATCAGAATGTAGTGAAAACAATGCAATGCATGTACTGCAACGAAACTTATGTGGAGTCAAGGCTACATTTTTGTAAACATTTGTTTTAAGTTTTGTTGTGGAAATACATTGATTCTATGAACTTTTTGAAAACATTTTAATTGGCAACACGACAAATCGATAGATCTTCTTTTCTTTTCGTACAATTTCATAACATTTTTTTCTGGATTTTTTTTTCGAAAATCACAGGCGGTAGTGAATTAACGGGCGCAACAAATCTAATGGCACACTATGGATTGGAGCATTCGTATAGTAAATTTAGTGGCAAAAAAGTGAAGGAGCAACTATCATCATTTTTACCAAATCTTCCGGGTGTCATCGACGGTCCTGGTCAAATCGTAATTACCAAACATTTTCCCTTATTTCTTCTATGATTTTCATTTTTTTTGTTTCTTTCATTTTCTCCTTGGATGAATTTTGACACGAAACAAAAACCATTGTTTTGCTAGCTGTTTAATGTTTCTATCTCTTAACTTTCAGGATAATAGTTCATTGCGTAGTGTAATTGAGAAGCCGCCGATTGGTGGTAAAGAACTGTTGCCGTTGACCAATGTACAATTGGCTGGTTTTCGCTTGCATCCAGGTCCATTACCAGATCAGTATCGTTATATGAATAATACACCAGTGCGAAAGCATAAAAAATATAAAAAACATAGACATAAGGATAGTTCTGTGCCACTACCAACCATGCAAACCGATTTAGTTGCTGAACCTCATGAAAAGAAACACAAAAAACAAAAACGACACGAAGATGATAAATCGGAGCGGAAAAAACGCAAGAAGGAGAAGAAACGAAAGAAACAACGACACACACCCGAACCACCTGCTACAACGGTCAATCCAATTGGTGTTGGGCTACCGCCCAACATTGGATTCTGATTTTTCTCATCACATACGCAACATGTTATTTAAATTCCTCTGTACATACACATCAAACAAACAAACAAACAATTTTATAATAATAGGACTTCGATCACAACAAATTTCTCAAAACATCCAAACAAAAACACACACAATACACACACACACACACGCCAAATCAACCAAACCGCTCGTACATCCCAAATAGTGAAAAAATCATTCTGAATTCCATGTAGTGTCGTACTACTACAGGAAGTAGTTCATCTACTGGAACAAAAAATAAAAAAATAAAACAATTGTCATATTCAATCATCATCGGATGATCAATTTATTTTATGATGGCTTCGCCTTAAATTTGTAACATCCAATTAACTCCCAAACAAACTACTTATATTAATTTAGCAATATTTAAGATAAATTTAAATCAATTTTCGTAACGAGAGAACAAAAAAAAAATATTATTTATAACGAATTACAAAAAAAATGATAATAAAGAAACAAAATAATGACACATCGGACTTTTTATTTGAATGCGTTTCAGATGTCGCTTGTGGCAAATTCAACGTGTTTTTCGTTTTTTTCTGTTTTTCATCATCAAAAGCAGAGGAAAAAAAAAGTTTCAAGTTTGAAATTAGGAGAAAAATCGTTGTTTGGGTTACGTTTTGACGTTTGTATCTCTTGTATGTAAAACCATTGTGTGCGACATGACAGTTGTTGCTGTCAAAATTCCGTATTATATATCGTTGAGAAAAGCGCTAGTGCACACACATTATTCTAAGAGGCAGACAATTGAGTTTTCAGTTGTAATTCAATACTGTTTACGACATTGTGACGATTTAGTTGTCGAGTTGATAATTTTGGTCGAATACAAACACGAAAAAAATCGTCATGGATGCCAAAGAGCGCAAGAAGAGAGAGAAAATGGAAAGGCGTGAGGCTGAAAAGAAAGAGATGCAGTATTATCGTGAACAATTGGCACAATTAGCAAATGGTTCAGATGCTCGTGGTCAACTCTCTTTCCCGCCAACACTTCAGAAGGGCCAACGAAAGAAACTGCACAATATTGCAGCTTCACTTGGACTCAAATCAAAATCGCACGGAAAAGGTATCGTTTATTCATATCCATGTGTTATTTTTTTTGCTTGTGACAGCATTATTCGGCACAATTTCTTCATAACATCTTTTCTTAACCTTTTTTTTATACTGTTATAGGCGACAATCGATTCTTAACGGTATTTAAGAAGAACGTAGTTCCATATACACCGACAGGCGACGGTTCGATTAACTATTTACGACTGACAAATAATTCAATAGATAAATTGCTAGAGTTAACGAACCATGATCCGGTTAGTGATGCAGAAAAAGAGATTACAATTGTACGACGGCCCACCGATACGACCAAAAACCATGCACATTTGCCATTTATGTTTGGTGATGGACGTTCAAAGACAAAGGTAACCGTTCCGCCGCCAATGATAAATGGCGCCGAAAAATATCGAGCCACACGACAAAGCTTACCAATTTTTGAGTATCGTGACGGAATTATTGATGCAATCAATCAAAATCAAGTTGTCGTTATATCAGGCGAAACAGGTTAGTTGCGAAATCACTTTTTTGCATTGATTTTTATACAAACTGAGTAAAACTGTGTATTTGAAATTTTAGGTTCTGGTAAAACAACACAAGTGCCACAATACATTATGGAGGATTTTGCGTCACGCGGTCAGGAATGTCGAATAATTTGTACACAGCCGCGAAGATTAGCAGCCACATCCATTGCTACACGAGTCTCCACAGAGCGCAATGATACCATTGGTCGTTCCGTTGGCTATCAAATTCGTTTGGATAGTCGAATCTCGGCAGACACCAATTTGATTTTCACCACCAGGTATGTGGTATTCATCATGAAAATTTAAAATTCAACAAATTTAATTTTTTCAAAACAATTTTTGTGCAGTGGTTTTTTGTTGCGTTGCTTAACCGGATCGAAACAGGAAGATGTGTACAAAAGTATAACGCATTTGGTTCTGGACGAGGTGCACGAACGTGAAAAGGTGACCGATTTTTTGTTGATCGCGATTCGTGATGCGATCAAAACAAATCCACATTTGAAGGTCATTTTGATGTCGGCCACCCTTGATTCGGACCAATTTAGTAAATATTTTGAAAATTGCCCTGTGATCAATGTTCCTGGTCGGATGTTTGATGTGGAAATCATGCATCTCGGCGAAGTACTCGTAAGCACCAAATATAAAAGTAAAGAAATGCATACATATATGACTGATAATCCATTGCCAAAAATATTGCGAACATCGAAAAACATGGACACAATCAAAGAAGCCGATGAAGATAATGGTAACAATAATTATTGTCATTTAATTACGTTCAAATACTAAAAACCCTTCCAAAATTGATAATCTTCCATTTTTTGTTTGTTTGATTTAAAGAAAAATTGAAAATCAGCGACGAGGACATCCAATTCTACGATGAATGCTTCGATGAGTGTATGTCCCAAGATGATGATGATGCATCGTTTGAGCAAATCTTCTGTTTGATAACGGATGAAAATATGCCAGTCGATTATATGCACAGTACGAAATTGCGTACAGCATTGGGAATTGCGGCGGAAAAAGGTTTTTTGAATGTGCTAACAAAATTACTGGGTTTAGGTGCAAAGCCAACATTCAAAGATGCACACGGAAAATGTGCATTGGACTATGCCGAAGAAAATGAACAAGAAGAATGTTGTGAGGTATTGGCATACTATCAGACTATTGCACCGATCACAGCGACCACAATTGCTGCTGCCGCCATCGAAAGCGACAGTGATGCAGAAGCCAAAGCATGGCAACAATTCACACAACTTGCATATCAAATGACCGATAGTAAACGTGATGCAATTGATCATGAATTACTGTATCATGTAATTTATCATATTCATACGGAAAAATCAACGGATGGTAGTATTCTTGTCTTTTTACCCGGCTACGAAGATATCATGGATCAAAAAGAAAAAATTGAAAATCGTTTCAATATGCAGAATTATCAATTGTTTGTATTGCACAGTGGCGTGAATGGAACGAGTAACTCTGAGCAATCACGCGTTTTTGATCATATGCCAAAGGGAATACGAAAAATTATACTTTCCACAAATATTGCGGAGACATCGCTTACCATTAACGATGTGGTATACGTAGTCGATGCTGGCAAAGTGAAGCAACTAAGCTATGATTCGATCAGTGAATCGACGTGTTTGACCTCGACGAATATTTCACAGGCGTGTGCCAAACAACGTGCTGGTCGAGCTGGACGAATTCAATGCGGATTTTGCTATCGACTGTATCCATTGGAACAATATGAAACGATGGAAAAATACACACTGCCAGAAATTCTGCGTGTGCCTTTGCAAGAAATTTGCCTGTAAGATTTGCTTGCTATTTATTCATATAATTATTTTTATGACGTTACTTACAATGAAAAACCTTACTATATTACAGAAATACAAAAATTTTGGCCGGTGATTTATCGATCGAGGAATTTTTACTGAAAGCCCTGCAGCCACCGTCCGCAACAAATATCCGCCAAAGCATCGAACTACTGAAAAAAGTCAATGCGCTAGACGCTGACGAAAATATCACTTATTTGGGCATACATTTGGCCAATATGCCAGTCGATTGTCAATTGGGTAGGTCATTTTGTCCAAATTTTACAAGAATTTCATTTTTATTTCCATTGATACGATTTCGTTTGTAATTCTCTCCCATAGGAAAAATGATTTTGTATGCGATTGTATTACGTTGCTTGGATCCAGTGGTGACAATCGTCAGTGCGCTCTCGGTTAAAGATCCATTTATGTTACCGTTGGGCAACGAAGGCGAGAAAATAAATCAAATCAAAAAAGAATTCGCACGGAATTCGCTAAGCGATCATCAAATGCTATTGAACACATTCGATGAATGGTCAAAGAAAAAAACGCGTCTTCAATTCGATTTTTGTCACGAAAATTACATTTCACAGGGTAACATGCAAATGATTCAAGGCGTACGACGTTTGATCATGGGACATTTGACGATGGCCGGTTTTGTGTGCGAAGGCACCGCCCGAAATATTAGTAAATTGAACCAAAATTCAATGAGATGGGACGTTGTAAGAGCGTGTCTGACAGCGGGAATGTATCCGAATGTGTGCCGAATTTCGCCGATCGTAGGTCAATTGATTTCGAAACAAGATAAAAAATTGGTGCCCCATTTATCATCGGTGTTGCGCGAACGAAAAGGTCGCTTTCAGTTGGATCGAATGGTGAAAAGTGCTGGCGCCGAATGGTTTATTCATGGTGAAAAATCACGTATTTCAAACAATTCATTCGTTCGAAATATCACAATCGTTCCTTCAATCGTTGTGGCTCTATTCACTGGGCCGATCATGTTATCTGATTCCTGTTTAATTGCGTCTGGTGAGAGTAAGGCTGAAGTTTTATCGGACATGGACTGTGATGATATTCCGCAAGAGGATGATATTGAAAATACCGATTTTGACGATCAACTTTTTGGTTGTGGCGGTATTGAAGAGGAAGGTGAGACAATATTCAACATTGATGACTGGATTAGTTTCATTGTTGATGAATTCGAAGCAACATTATTGCTACAATTGCGTCAAAAATTCGCGTCAATATTTGTGAAATTTCTACGTAATCCGGTTGAATTCCAAATGACAAACAAAGAACAGACAACGTTGAACGTTTTACTTGAGGTTCTAAAAGAAGAGGATGACATCGCGAAATATCTGAAAGAACAGGCAGCTAAGGCAGCAGCAGAAAAAACTAAAGACGATAATGATGGTGAAGGTGAATGCTTTGGAAGTATGACAAAGAAAAGCTCGGGATCAATACCAAAAAATGATCGAAAACCAATACCAGAACGACCCACTGCCGGACCAGCGTACATTTCACCTGCATATAATCAAGCAATTGAACCTGAAGGTAGATCTGATAAATTACACAAGATTTTTTTGAATTTCTAATTTATCGAACTTTTTTCACTTTTGAAGGTCGACGAAATAAGAAGAAAAATAAAAAGAAAAAGGCCAATAAGTGGCTAGATAAGAGATATCAAGCTGATGGACTGAATTGGCGAAACTGTGACGTCGTGTCTGATGATCAAACACAAGGCGTACAACCATCAACTTCAACTCAATCTTCTATTAGTTCAGCGGAAAATCAACAAAAGAAATTAACACAGGGCCTATTCAATAAATTGGATCAGCCATTTACGCCGCCATCGCTACAACTTCCACCACCATCGTTTCAATTTCCACCGCCATCATTGCAATTTCCACAAGGACCCGGTATGTTTAATATGGCAATGATACCACCGATGAATCATTCCATTCAAAATCGTTATTTTCTACTGGTGGTCTCAAATGTTGGCGTGATCTATCAGAGTGTGTACAGTAGTCAATGGAAATTTAAGACACCACGTGCCTTTATTGCAAAGCAAGCCCGTGAATCTTATCCTGCAAAAATTATTCTATTTTGGCACGTGCCAAAAAAACACGCCATTTTTGGATATGGTGAATTTCAAACACGCGGCCAAGGCGGATATGTCATCAACGTTGATGATAACATTCGCAATTTTCGACCATTGATGTGAGTAGCTTAATTTTTAAGAAAAACGAAAATATATTTATTAAATCAATTTTTTGCAGGTCTTTCGATGCAAACGACGACTATGAAATGGCACCCGACGAAGGCAATGAAGTACTGCAATTTTGCAAAAGTGTTGCGAATATAAAACGATCATAATAAAAATGAATCATTCATATTTTTTCACATTCTTTTTACCGAGACTCAAAACAACTCTGTCAATTTAATTTATAACTTGTAATTTTTCATTCTCTCGGCAGCTTTGCGTAGCAAATAATAAATTATAAAATAAAAACAAAATCCATTGTAAAAATAGATTAAAAATCTAATTTGAAAATTAAAAAAAATAATAAAACAAAACGATTACGATTTGAGTTTGTGAAATTTTATTTAAAGAATAAAAAACAGAAATAATCCAAAATTATTGGTGACTTCCCCTACAACATTTTATGTTGTTCACGCTCTGGATTCGAAAGCGGATAATAGATGGAAATCATTCAACTTATATCATTCACAATCGGGCATTCAAATATAATTTCCAAATTGAAGCCAAACTGTCAATCATATCTGTCAAACGCACGTGAGTGTGTCAATGACAGTAGGTTCGTTTGACATTGTCATTTCAATTTGTACATGTATGTATAAATACAAAGTTCAAATGATTACATTTTAGTTATTTTATTGTAAATTTGATGTTTTCCACTTGACAATATAAAATATATAACAACTTATGAATGAAAATATGATGTTGAAACAGTAAAAATTAAACGTGAAAATTTGTGTATCAAAATAATTATGTCACTTAATAGAATGTTTGCATTAAGATGTGCGATAAGAACAAATGTAAACTGGAGACTTCGGTCGTCAAACTTTAGGCCAATCTACCGGACACTTGCAACCGATGGAAAAATAACAATCGATGGCATCTCCAAAGATCTGATCAAACCAAAGAATCCTCTATTTGTTCCGCAGAAATTCCGTAAGTATGGGTTTTTTGGTGAAACATCTTTGAAATTAACTTCTTGTATTGCGAAATTCCAAATACATTCTCAAAATGAATAAATTCTCGATTACAAACAATAAAACCGTTTTCATTTACTTTCAATTTTCAGTGAAATTATCGCAATCGGAACAAATAGTCATCTCACAGACAGTGTTGCATCACCTACGATGGATGTTACAAAAAGATTTGTTGGGTCAAGATATCTTTTTAATTGGTCGACCGGGTCCGTTGCGAAGATCCATTGTGATGCAATTTTTGGAATTGACGCAACGGGAATTAGAGTACGTTGCACTTAGTCGGGATACCACAGAAAACGATTTGAAACAACGACGTGAAATTCAAAATGGAACAGCCGTATACTTTGACCAAAGTGCAGTGCGTGCTGCAATTCATGGACGTGTCCTGGTGATTGAAGGCATTGAAAAGGCCGAACGAAATGTACTTCCTGTGCTAAATAATTTGCTTGAAAATCGCGAAATGCACCTAGAAGACGGACGATTTTTGATCCCGGCCAGTAGATTTGATAAACTGAAAAAGGTAGTTTTTTGAATTTCCCATTCATCGCACTTGTTTCTCTTTCATAAGCTACAAACGAAAACGAAACTCAAAAAAATCATTATGTTCCAGGAGCATGGCTCGGACGAATTGAAACGATGGGGTTTGGTTCGAGTGTCTGAAAATTTCCGTGTGATAGCTTTGGGTTTGCCAGTACCAAAATATCGAGGCGTTCCATTAGGTAGATCCACAGATTGACATTAATTCAAGAATTCTAAATTAATAACTCTAATGTAAATTCCAGATCCTCCACTTCGCTCGAGATTTCAAGCCAGAGACATTACATCAACTACCTACCAGGTGAACTTTACCTTAGCCATAGCTAAATCATCATAATCTAACTTTAATCAGATTAAAAATGAAAAACTCCACCTCAGATCAAAATTTATCTTTATTTAAGAAACTTATGCGAAAAAATATATCATTGGAATTATGAAAGGTTAGCCTAAAGGAAGATAAAAAAATGAAGAGGGCATAGAAAGAGAAAATTTTTTTTTGCAAAAAGGCATATAGTTATGTGGATGTAAGTCGTTAACTGTAACAACTTTCGCTATCTTGTCCCGACTTCGGTGAAACCAGTGTCGACATTTTGTCGCCATCGTTAACAACGAGACATCGTTTCGGCAAATTCGGCATGAAAATGTGTAATTGCCGTTTGGCCACCTGTGTATTGCATGACGTTTCCAAAATTTGTCGTTGAATTATCGAACTATATTGATCATCAAAATATTCTAAACGTTTTGTCTTGAATCGTCCACCAAAATGTTTGGTCGATTTTTTTGCATTCGGTTTTAATGGCAACGATATTTGTAAATCCAACGGTTCCAAGCGATCGTTTAACGTTTTTGGACGACGAAGTGATAAAAATTTTCTCGAACATTTATATGTGGTTGGGAATAAGTCGATAAAACTCAATGACACTATATTGGAATTCAGACATTGTGATGATTCTTTTATGGGCGATTCTTCGTTGAATGTCATTGACAACTGTCGGATTGATTCACGCCTTTTGGTTCCAACTTGTGCATCGTCCAAATCCAAATCGTTTTGTTTTCGTGATTCTTTTGCAGTAACAGAGCGTCGTTTTGATGTATGTAACAATTTTCCAATGTATTCACTTTGTTTGGTCGATGTATGATTGCGTCCAGCGGCCAAATCCAGCCACTGCAACACTCTTTCAGCCAATAGATTTTTATTCGAATCGATTTCATTGGTTATTCGTTTGAAACTTGGCGTCGATGGCATTTCTTTGGGCATTGATTCGGCCAATGGCTCTTCGTCAGTCGATTCAAATGAATTCGTTAGAATTTCTTTGTCACTTGAAAAATCCGACATTTGTGATCGATCCTCTAGCGAATTGAATACACGATCATTTTGCATTTTATCCGATGAACCGACTATGCTCAACGACATCATTTTCGTTTCCAATGCATCGAACGATTCCATCTTATCCAACGATGATGGCGATTGTATCGTTAATGAAGCGGTTTCATTTCGCAAACGATCCGTTGTGGATAAATTATAATCAAAGATGAAATGACGATGACCACCATTCAATGTACCGGTCGCTCCAAATGATTCGATCCACACACATTTTGGATGCAGTGGACGACGAGATGATTCCCAAATCGGTTGATTTGACGGCCCATCCAATTTGATTGAAGACATATTGTGGCAAAATAATGTGTGCTACTTTTTAAAGGTCACATTGACAGTCGTGGCTTTTTATTTCGAACAGCGTACGAATATTACGAATTTTTAAGAATTTGCGATGGATACAGTTAAAATTCATTTTCCTAAACACTGATTTTTAAACGGGAAGCCACATTTTTCCGCTTTCAAAATTTGACATAAAAACTTGAGAAATTTTTCGATTTTTTTTCCAATAAAAACTTTCTTCAAATCAATTTTAAAAATATTTCTACAAAAAAAATGTCTTCTCTATCATTGGTTTACTTTAAATTGAGTCCAAATTTTCGATCTCAGATTGATTCAAGCGAAATGGAATTGGTTTGTGTTGAAACGTCTGAATCGTTGAAGCGTTGAAACTAAACTATTTGATGCTTTTAAACGATGACTCTATGTCTGTCTTCATTGAAAATGTAACCACACACACTTCACATATATAAATTCAATTTTCACAATTCATACTCGTTTAACTCAATCGAGTCATTTGCTTGGAGAATTTGACTCGTTTGCCCTTTATACTTCGTTCACCTATTATAATCTTAATTTGAAGAAGGTGTATTTTTCTGTTTCGACTGTTCATTTTCACGATGTCGTCAATTGAGTTTTTATTTATTCTATTTTGCGGAAATCTTGTCAAACATTTGTCATATGGATTTTCCATCGTTGATAATAATCAATTTCCGAGCAATTGAATGACGTCAACAAATCAAACGGAACATAATTGTCGCAGGCCATAAAATTGGGGGCCATTTTTCGTTTCTTTTTAAATCAATGCGTCAGTTGGTGTGTATTTTTCGTTTTGTTGTTGTTTTCTCTACGTTGGCGTTGTCAATTTATCCTTGCCATTTAGCGACAAGGAAACCAAAAATTACACACACATGAAACGAAAAGAAAGCACACCAAAAAAACATACAAACAAACAACAATCGTTGACTTGGTATTCTCGGTTCAATCCAACAAATTCCCAACGACGATTTATTCATTCGAACGAAAAAAAGCTATTGTGTAAATAGGAGAGTCACGCACGCCTCTCTGCAACAATTTCTGGAATGGTTTTGCATGTGCACACGACATTTCACATTTTATTATTGTTCTCTTAAATTATTATTATTTTTGCAGCGCGGTTTTTGGCATATGAACACATTTTTTCGACCCCAAGAAAAACTACAATCGAAATGTATATCATTTTATTACAGAATTGAAGGTAGAAATCGCTCGTGACCTAGTCACTGTGTGTGAGAGCGGGAGAGCAGGCGAACGAATGACAGATTTATGATTTAATGTACTTGCGTCTGCATTTTTTGACTGCAGTATTCTCTTCCGCAGATACAAATGTTTACTTTTGAAATTTTCTTTGCAAACATATTTACTTTGCAAACGAATAATGACACAAAATCTAGTGGAAAATGGAAATTGAAAAAAACAGGAAATGGAATATCAATATGATATTTTGACTGATAATTGGTGCTCGAAAAATTGGGTCGCTTAGTTTTCGAAATGAAAATAGTAAAATATTGTGAAGAGGCATGTGCAAAATAACGGATTTTTCCCTGTTCGTATTTGGAACAAGAAAATTTATCGTGAGCTTAAGCTTGAAGTAAATTTTTGAACAGCAACGTTTGATTTTTGCATAATAAACTGGAATTGTTTCATCAAACAAAGCATAAAACTTCATCCTTGAACCAACGAATTGTAATAATTCCAAGTACTTTTCAAAAGCGTGACCATCAAATAAATCACTGTTTCCATTGAAACAAATTGAGTGTTTTCCTCATTGGCGAGCTTGAATGTAATATACACCCAGAGAGAGAGAGAGAGAGAGAGAGAGAGAGAGAGAGAGAGAGAGAGAAATGAAGAAAAAAAAGCACTTTGCCAAAGTTTTTAAACGAAAGAAAAGTTTGAAAATTGATTTCGTGGAAAATCAATTAGCAACCCGCAAAGAACAAACAAACACCAACGGATTTCCAATGGTTGAATTTGAAACTATTAGCTTGCATATTAGGTGCATAAAGCTCATTAAAATTTTGTGAAACAAGTTTTATGGATTGCTTTTTACTTTCTTTTTTGGGTTGAAGAAAAAAGAAGCAAATACACACATGCACACGCAAATCATTTCCGACATTTGCGGTTTCGCCACAAAACCATTTACGATAATATGCACAATTGAAATATGATGTGGATAAATGTTTTAATTTCGAAGCATGGTATGCCTTTCTCTTCCCACTTTCGCTCACCAGTGAATGAGCCCAAACTAATTTGACAGTAAAAAACATTATTACGCGAATTTTATTATTGAACAAAATAAATTTAGTTTTTCCGTGGAACGGAAAAAATTGCGCAAAAATAATATGTGTTGTGTTTTCATAGGAAACAATGAATGAGTTGCGACAATTGGCTCCCGAAGCAAATGAACACACATTGGAGAAGATAACATCATTTGGATATGCAATTCAAAACACCGACGAAACACCACTTACAAAAGTTCTTCCCGATTTTCCGTGCGATAATTTGAAATTGGCGGCACAAATCAATCAAGCAAATCCATCGACAAATCCATATCAATTATTGTATCGATTGTATCCGTTCGATTCATTCTTGCCCAAAGAATGCCACGGAAGTTTAATGTCTTTGTTCGATTCGCTAAATATTGCACTCCCATCAGCGGAAAATAACAAATCGTGGATTCGAAACCTGATTCAAAGCAATGGACAAAGAATTGTTTCAATTGAACGACCCACACTATCGGAAGCACTCCTAGAATCAACAACCAGCCTACAATATCACAAAGGTATGTAAAATAATGGGATAAATAATTTGGTATTTTCACTTTTTACGATGTAAATTCCAGTGACCATCGAATCAAATGGTGAAAAATGTTCAATCAAAGTACCAGGCGGAACAACAGCTACCGAAATCGGTTCGCAATTTGTTGAGACAAACTATCAAAATTATCTGTTGAGCGAAATAATTCAGAGCTATGCGGTCGGAGATATTTGTCTTATCGGAGCTAGAGGAAGCGGAAAATCGATTCTTATTGAACAAATTGCACAAATGCTAAATCAACATATTGAACCAATGGTATTGTATCAAGATATGACTGCACGAGATTTTGTACAGCAACGGGCAACTACACCAAAGGGCGATACAGTGTGGAGAGACTCACCGATGATCCGCGCAGCAAAGGCCGGAACTATTGCTGTTTTGGATGGCATTCATCGTATTCATAATAGCACAATCTCAGTTTTACATCGGTAAGAGTGTGCATGTTTTTGAGTGTTGTAAAACTTTATTTAAACTGAATGAAATTTCAGGCTTATCCATGATCGAGAGATTCAACTGTACGATGGAACCCGATTGATTCGACATGAAGCGTACGATGAACTATTATCTAATGGACAAACTAAAGAAGAACTGGCCAACAATGGAATTTTCCGTATACATCCATCATTCCGCATTGTAGCTTTGGCTGAACCACCCTCTGGTAATATTAAAAAATATTGAAAAAAATCAACATATTCTTCGTCGACTAAAGTACTAAAAAGTATTTCTTTTTATCACCTTACAGTGGAAACGGGTAAAAATTGGCTGTCACCCGAGGTCCTGAGCTTATTCCTATTCCATGAAATTCGAAATTTGAGTAAAGAGGAAGAGAAGCACATCATACAATCGTTGGTAAGATCCATCATTTCTTTAAAAACAATTTTTTTTACAAATTTCTTTAAATTCTCCATTTTGAAACTTTAGTATGGTGAGATAAACGAATCAATGGATAAAATATTGAATTTGGCCGAATTACTGCGAAAATCAAAGGATCCAATTGTCCGAAATTTGTCGACGACATTATCAACGAGGCAATTATTGCGAATTGCTCATCGTATGTCAGCCTATCCACCAAATGAGGCATGTGCATACGAAATAGTGCAACAGACATTTCTCGCAAAATTTTTACCATCCCTACCTCGTGCTGCATTGGAGAATGCCATAAAAAACGTTTCAATTTCACCGCCAAAAACGTCAAATTTGCCAAAAGCATCGATCAAAGTGGACAATGGCATGCTAACCATTGGCTCGACATCAACAAGCCTCTATAAAACTCAAGCCCTAACGAAAGTGCCTGACATTGTGTTCTTTGATGTGCCACAGCATGTTGAAATTTTGGAGCGATTGCTACAAGATTTTTTGATAGGTAATCATTTGTTGCTTGTGGGCAATCAAGGTGTGGGTAAAAACAAGGTGGTCGATCGATTATTGCAGCTTATGAATCGTCCGCGGGAGTACATACAATTGCATCGCGATACAACGGTACAATCGTTGACAACACAACCATCCGTCGTGGACGGTGTTGTTGTCTACGAAGATTCACCTTTAGTAAAAGCGGTTCGAATGGGTCATGTGTTAGTTGTAGACGAGGCTGATAAGGCTCCCACCCACGTGAGTTTTTCATACATTTTTCACCTAATTGATTTGGCTGAAGCGTATTTTTTTTGTAGGTTACATGCATTTTAAAAACGTTTGTTGAAAATGGTGAAATGATTTTATCCGATGGCCGAAAAATTTATCCATCGAATGTAGATCGATGTGAAAATCAAATGTCACCCGAAACCATTTATACGCATCCCGATTTTCGATTAATTGTTCTTGCAAATCGGCCAGGGTTCCCATTTTTGGGTAATGATTTCTTCGCATCGTTGGGCGATTTATTTAGTTGTCACAGCGTTGATAATCCATCAACTGAATCGGAAATTTATCTTTTAAAACAATACGGCCCGAATGTCGCTGAAGAAACGTTACGAAAATTAGTAAATGCATTTGCAGAACTACGAAGTATGGCTGATGTCGGACAATTAAGCTACCCGTATTCAACCCGTGAAGTGGTGAATATTGTGAAACATCTTGAGAAATATCCACACGAAAATGTCGGCGAATTAATTGCAAACGTATTCGATTTCGATCGATATTCACCAGAAGCACTGGAACAAGTGACGGACGTTCTGCAGAAGCACGGCTTCGCCATTGAAATGTATGCAAAAAATGAATTGGCTGCCATTCGACGACAAAAGGAGATTCAATTGACCGTTGAACGAACAAGCGGATTATCGGTGTCGGCACCGAAACATGGAAAAGAAGATCCAAGTATCATCAGGACGTTGCATTTTTTTAATTTCATAATTTTGACACAAATTTGATCATTTTCAGACAATAAACCACACGTCGGAGGCAATACTTGGGCAGGTGGTACTGGTGGTCGCGATACGGCCGGTTTGGGTGGTAAAGGCGGTCCATATCGATTAGATAAAGGCCATAAAGTCCATCAATTAAGCGACGAAGAGAAAAATGATGTACCAGAGTATGTGAAAAAGGCGGCACGTGAAATGAATCGCAAAGCATTTGCCGACAAACTGAAAGAGATAAAGATGTCTTCATACGATCATCAGATTTATGATGCATTCAGTGCACCGGTTCGGAAGCAAGTACAACAGCTTCGTGTGATTTTAAGTTCATTGCAGGCAAAAAGCAAAGAACGCCAATGGCTGAAACATCAAACGTCCGGTGAAATTGATGACAATAAACTCATCGAAGGTTTTTGTTCACATAAAAAGACTGCATCAATGTGTAAAATTAATTTTAATTAATTTTTTTTTTCGAAAAAAATCAAAGGCTTGGTGGGCGAACGAAATATCTATCGAAAACGTGGCGAAGAGAATCCAGAACCTGGACAACCGCAAGAAAAACCCAAAAGACTGAAATTCGTTATTGATGTATCAGGATCGATGTATAGGTAAGTGAGCGCCTCTCAGAAAATGCAAAAAAAAATTAAATATTTGTTCAATTCTATCAGATTCAACGGCTACGACCAAAGACTCGATCGAGAACTTGAAGCAGTCGTTATGGTAATGGAGTCATTTGAAGGCTTTGAAACCCGCGTTCGATACGATATTGTTGGTCACAGTGGCGAAAGCAAAAATATTTTGTTTGTTAATGAAAAAAATCCACCGGCCGACTCCAAAATGAGATTGGAAACAATTAAGGTAAGTCGTTTTGGGCTTTTACGGTATTTTTTTTTAATTTGTTCGATTTGATTTTGGATAGATGATGCATGCACATTCGCAATTTTGCTGGTCTGGCGATAATACGGTGGAAGCAACAAAGTTTGCCATTGATTCACTCGCCAAAGAAGATGCCGACGAATCGATTGTCATCGTTTTAAGCGATGCGAATTTACAACGGTACAGCATTTCACCAAAAGAATTGGCCAAAGCATTGACGTCACAAGAACCCAAAGTACAAGCTTATGCCATTTTCATCGGCAGTTTGGCCAACGAAGCTCAACTGTAAATATTTCTTCTTCTTTTTCTAATTTAATGGCATATTTGAATCTAATGTGCTTATTGATTTGAATTTCAGAATTATACGCTCATTGCCAGCTGGTCGTGGATTCGTTTGCATGGATTTGGCTGAATTGCCAGTGATTTTAAAACAAATTTTTACATCATCTGTTCTCAATCAAACGGTTTGAGGATCATTTGTTTGCAACAGCAGCCCCAGATCCAGTCTGTTGATAGAGATGATATGACCTTTTCTAATTTGGTGCATTGAAATCGATACACTACCAACGACCAATCATGTTTTTTTTAAATTAATATTATATTGGGAAATGTGGACGAATAAATGTTATTTATTTCTACTTGTATGTTTATATGATTGCCCGAGAATGAATGTGAGACTTCTCCTTAGATTTTATTGAAATATAACAAAGCCATACAAGTGGCTAACTAGTCTCACATCCTCGGACATTCATATATATTTGATTTGTTTTTTTTTTTTGTGATCAAATGTTTTGATTTGATTTCAGGTTCAACTATTACGTAGCATGGTTTTTCTCAGAATTTTTTTCTTATCTTTTTTGGCACCAGTGAAGTATCTGACATTTTTGCGCTCTTTTCATTTCACTGTGACACATTGTACAAACAAAACAGAATATACATTAGGGTGTTTCTCATATCTGAAAATAAAAAAATGGTAGTCGTTAATTAAAAGTGCAAAAAATTCTAAGACAAATCATGACATTTACACAAAGCATCGACTGATGGTCACGCTTCCCGAAGCAAAAAACTGTTTTCAAAATTGAATGTTACTTACAAAGAAAAAACGCCCCATTTGTACTCCTGCGCAGTCAACAACAACCAAATGGGGTGTCAACCTTTTGCTACGCTACTATCCCACATGGTCGGGATAGCCTTAATAACTAATGTTACAATTGTTTTTTTTGTTTGCGTTGTGCTGATCAGACAGCATGATCAGCTGGCTGCTGGTCGTACTCGAACATTTCTACATCATTATCTACGTTGGCGGCAGCAGCAGCAGCTGCTTCAGCGACATCAGCGGCTACTTCGGCGGCCTCAGCGACAGCATCGCGGGCTTTATATCTATTGATCGCATCCGGTATCGGAAGTCCTAGCAATGTCCATAGTCCTGAAAAATCAAACAAATGAATCTTCTTAAGCAATCATTCAATCGCAATTGTATCGTCAATTAGCCTTACCTTTCAGCAGAATGTTCTTAGCAGCCACGACGTCACGATGCCAAGTCACAGAGCATTCGAGGTTTAATTGCCAGTTTTTATAGTAACTTTTTACTTTTGACAATAAAGGCTCGTTTTCTTCCAATGCTTCGTTCATGGCGCGTTGCAACAATCGAAATTCCGATAGATCCTTCTTGCCCAACTTTGACACAATTTTTATTGGCAGCAATGTTCTGGCGTCGGGTATGCACCGGCATTTCTTGAATCTGGCCGATTTGGGCTGGTTTTGGAATCGCTTCATACATCTTGCGTCTGTTTGAGATGAACCCCATTCGTCCACCAGATCTATGACACAATTTCGGCGCTTCTTTATTGACCTCAAAGTCTTACGAACACCTGGACAGCGCACGTACTTTTTGATACTTATTCGGCTGTCAGGTGGTACTTCGCCATCAGCACCAAAAAGAAACAAAGTCGGTTGCTTATCGGTAACCTTATCCACCCAATTGTCGACAACACTACTGCTTTTGATGTGTTTGTCGAAGGCGAGTCGAGTGTACTTGGCAGTCGAGTAAGCACAAATCCCATGCTTCATCATTTTGACTCGGTGCTTGATGTAGTTCAGCCAGTATGATCCTTTTGGCGATGGCATCACTGGGTACAGCTCACGGTTTTCTCTGTCTCGGCGCTCCTCTTCGATGAAAGCTTTGGTCCAACGCTTTGCTTTGGCATTTCGCACATTTTGACCAGTCTGCCAGTGGAACTGCTTGCTCGACATCACAAAGTTGGTCTGAATTTTTTTTTTTTTTAAATGATTAGTTATTGAATTTTAGCACTTACGCGGTCTATCTTCCATTGATACATATACAACATAAATGTAAAAACTTACTTCGGTGCCAGTTATAATGTTGTGTGTCACTGTGGTGTTCCAACTTTTCAAGCCTGTATCAACGCCTGCAAAATTTTCGAATTTGCCATCCAAAATCATTTCAACGATGCGAGAACGGTCGTATTCTGTGTTATTCGTCTTCTTTTTGGCCGAGTATTGCAGAGACACAGCGATTCCATCGGTGTTTATAGAAAAATCAAACTTCTTTTTTCCACGCACGAATCGCCGAATTTTCCGCATGTAGAAATACTGATTCCACCAATGATCACGCGCATCGTTGAAACCCTTTTGTGGAAGAATTACCATGCTTGTTGTTCCGTTTTTGTTTTCAACTTCCACTTTCGGTAGCAATTTTTGCGAAGACAACACCTGGTGCATGCTTGAACAATCGATTTTGAAGTGCTTTCGGCGAAAATCACACATCGGCACCACTACTAAATTCCGGATGAATGGCCGAAACTTTAGATCGTCGAGCATTTGTTTGCGCTTGGGGCGACGCTTTGACTGTTTGCGCTTTCTTTTCTTTCGTTTGGATCGGTGCTGATGTGGCCACTCCAAGTTGTACTCTTCTATCTCACGTTGCATAGATAGGAACATTGGCATGGCCTTAAACCAATGTTTTTCGTCAGTCGTGAGGTCATGCAGATCGATTTCTGGAAACACATTCAAGTCGTTCACCATGTCATACAACATGCCACACCGTTCGAGTTTGTTTGGATCGTGAATTGGCACTCTGATGTTTTTTCCTTTGATGATCAGTTTTACAACACTTTCGATGTCACTTGGCAAAAATTTCTCTGCGTCCTCTTCTCCGTCTGTGTTCAATTCGAACACTTTCAGTCTCAAGTACTGGGTGATGTGTTTGTCAGCATGCGTTGTTGAGTTGGTGACGACGTTGTCTGTGTATTGATTGGTCAAATGCTTTAGGCCATTGCTGAAATCATTGTTGTTGGGCCAATCGATACGATGATAGTCGTCAAGACCTAAAAATAAAATATGTTTTTCAAATTCAACTAAATTGTGTACTGTGTAGTCAAAACTCGCTATTTTATAAGGGGGTTTAATTGTTTAATAAATCAACTATAATTATTTATTACCTTCGACAATTGCTTTGAATTCAGGGTCGATACGTGGCAGCTCTGTTCGTGGTCCTCGTGGCTTTGTCCCTCGTGGTCTGTACGTCGACTTCGGTTTCGGTGGCTGATTGTTATGCCATAGCACTTGGTTAAAGCAGAGTTGGATCTTTTTTTCTCCACTTCCACCAAAGAATGCGAAATCATTATTCGCAATGCCTATGTTCGTACGCCTTTTGTACCTCGAACAAGAAAAGCAATGAGCCCAAAACGCAAATTGAAGTGGCTTGCAAACTCAGGTCCGTTATTTTGCTCATCAATGCTTGCTGGAATTGTGGGCGAATGATTGTTTTCAGCGCACATTTGATCGTCGTAATCTCATCCTTCTTTTCTCCCTTCGCTGGTATGGATGGCTTGAAGCGATTCGCCATTTTCCTATTGAAAAAAAAACAAACATTCGATTTAGTTTGAAAACGAATTTGTATTGAATTATCATTGATCCATATAATTTAAAAGTGACGACTTTTCACATCAAACAATGTTCGATCGAAAAAAAGTATATAAAAAAATATATACATTGAAAAAAAATGTACACCAGCACTGAAATAAAAGCATTCACATGTAATTTGAAAATATCAACCGAATGCACAGATGCAAAACATACAATCAAAGTGAAAAATCCTTTTAACCAATCCACACAAATATTCACATATGTTCCGAATTCAATTTGATCGAACGACAACAAAACACGAATCTATCGCTTTTTTTGGTACACACACAAAATGATGCAACAAAGAAAAATGACAAAAATCTTCGGATTGATAACAATGGCAGTGATTTAGAGAGAAAAAGAAAATTAAACACATTTCTTTGATAAACGAGTTATTGTTTCTCTTCTCTAAACAATGGAACCAATTCAAAATGGGTATCACTGCTTGAAATGAATTTCACCACCTCACGCAACAGAATTATGTACTGCAGAATAATTGTGAAATACATTACTTTTTTCATAAAATGTAATGTTACTGTTAATATGTTCAACGTTAAATAATTATTGGACTAGTTTAAATATATTTCACGTTACAAATGGCTTATATGTCGTGCTATGAAATAAGAATGAATTTCACAATGGAGATGAATAATTGCTTAGAATAAGCACGTTATTCAAATTTTGAATAAATCGTGTATTCGCTGGCATTTTCTCATCAAAAATAATAATTTTTACCGATGAATTCACCAATATTTTTCACTTTAATTTTCACTGTAAATTAAGTTTACTCACGGTGATTTGAATTCAACAATCTGCTTGGACTCCGGATCAATCGATCGATCAAGTGTTGAACAATTCGGAATAAATTGATACAAAACGCACGTATATCGAAAATAATATGAATTATTAACAAAATCGTAGAATAATTGAAACGTTGAATTGGAATTAACACTGCTGCGTAAACTTGGTATTTACAACGATAAACATGTTCTCGGTATGGATGAAGCGGCGATTATGACATTACGAAAACCAATGAAATGAACGTCAAATGTCATAAGGCTCGATTCACATCAATAATGCTAATTCAATATATTTTGACATTAGACACATTTTGCTATAAAGAATTTTTTGCTTCGGGAAGTGTCAATATCATTCGATGCTTTGTGTTAATTTCATGATTTGTCTTAGAATTTTTTGCACTTTTAATTAACGACTACCATTTTTTTATTTTTTGACTACGGAAACACTCTAATATACATGTTCATTAGCGATCCGCTTAGTTTATCGATGAATTCTCACATTTTCATCGTTTTGTGATGAAAAATAAAATGTCTTACATCCGTAAGATGAACTTTTCCGCACTGTGATCCACAACATGCATTTATTAAGCATTATGAGAAAACTGAATCTGACATTAGTTTTGCGATACAAATAAATTCTGAGAGACTTTTTATACAAAAATTACTAAAAATGGGAATTTTAGTAAGAATTCAATGCCTGTATGATATCGCAACGACGTGAAACTTTGCACAGGGTATTTTTTCACGAAAAGCTTTTGAACACATTTCAATAGAACTTCCCATACAAAATTATCGTTTTTGAGCGAAAAATCCAGAATTTTGTTTATTTTGGAAGAGAAATTTACTTTTTCCCATGGGTATTACACCAGACATGACACTTCACTCTATCAACCAAAGTCGCTCAAAATCTA